ATGAAACCAAATATTTCAATTTCATGCCATATTTTAAAAGCAGGGTAGAAAATTTAAATTTAAGCATGATTTTAAAACAAATGAAGAAAATACTCTAAAATGATAACTGGTTCTCTCCAGTTTTTTTTTTTTTTTAATTTAGTGGTAATTTTTCTCTCCTCTTTGTGGGTATCTTCTAAGTTTCCTAAAATGACAATTTCTTTTTTACAACGAAAATACCCAATACAGGTTATGATAAAATAGTGCAACAGGAATATTGGCTTCCTGTAACTTTCACTTGGGATAGAAGAGAAGATGCAAATGAAGAGAGAGATCATAATCTTATAATAAGAAATTTAAAAAAAACACTAGGGATTGGTTGCCATTATGTATACCTTAAACAAAATGATTTCTGAAATTCTAAGCCAGAGAAGACAAACTTGATTGCACCTTAGGTAAAATAAAGAGAGAAATGTCATCTTCTCAATTAATGGGACATCAGTGCCAGTGTGTGAGACCGTGCGAGGGTATGTGTGTGGTTTTGAGTTTACATGGATTTCTACAGCTATAATTGACAATTATAAATTGTAGGAATGAAGATTACTCTAGTTTGAAATCTCACTGTCTTAACTTTCACATTCTCCATTGAGATATGTTGCATCTCATCACTCAAGTCAGTCTAAACTTCTATTGCATATATTGTTCTTTAAGCATCTCCATAAATAGCCTTAAAAAATTCAAACTCCTAAATTTATTCTCAGCTATAGTTCACAGTTTATTTTGTGTGTGAAACAAATATTTTCTCACTTATAAATGTTTAGATTACTGACCCAAGTAAGATACGTATTGTTTTTCACTGTGGACATTATATTTTGAAAGGCTAGAACAGTTATATTATTGGCTCTCTAGGCCACTACTGTATAAATAAGCTGGAAATCAAGTTGCATCAGAAGGCACATAATTTATGTATTAAAACTGCAGAAGAAATCACAGCTGAAAAATTATCTTGGAGTGAACAAATGAGTAAAGTATCAGAATCACATTGCTTATGTTCACTGATATCTTACAAACCACATGCTAAAGGGGCAGAATATCCATCAGAGAGAATAAATACATTTTAAGCATAGAATTTATCAAATAGGCTGTCTTTAGTACCATTTTTTCTTTTGATTTTTGATACTTTGGGTACAAAAATATGATGGGATTCACTAGAATTTATTTTTCAGAATAAATTGCAGCCGTGTAAGGAAGCCTATACCAA